ATCACCCACGATATCAGGCCATGACAGCAACTTAACGGTCGGCCATCAATAATAAACGCAGGCTAACCCACCACTAGTGACCTGGCCGCAGCTCTCGTACAGGCCCCAGGCTCCAGGGAGGCATCTGCCTGGGCCTTGACCACCGATTCCTTTCCCCCGTGCACGTGCCAATCCGTCTGGAACTATACCAGAGAGACTGACCTTATATGTCAGCTCCAAGTTCCAAGCAGCAACTTCCTGTTCCCTCTTCTTGAACACTGCTTTTATACCGTCAATTGACCCACAATACTTCGACATGAACCCCGTGTACTGAATTGTGGACGTGAACAATGACTAATGCCAATCTCCATCAGTCATACGAAGTCGAAACGGGCAGCGGAGTGGCTCAGCAACACGTAATGGGGAGATTTGCCTAGTTCTAAGAAAATACCTGGATTGGAGGCTATGCTATGTCTACATTACCTCGGTACGTCATTCTCTACTCTTCATATACGATTACTATGAGGGAACACATAAATACATATATATATATATATACAATCTCAACAAACTTGCATCTTGTCGATGATTCGGCGTGATTCTAAAAATATGCTACGGTACCTTGGGGATATATTTCTCAAAGAACTCTTCGGCAAACCCCGCCCCTTGCACTGGTCACATCGATCGACCGAGTACTCGTAACTCGAGTACGATCATGTCAACCTTCATGACATCTTTCACCGATCGAGTCCACGACATGTAAACTCCTTGAACGACATGTGTCATAATATATTAAAGGCAGGATTTGCACTTCGACGATCATTAACCAACACCTGGCGTTTCAAGGATCTTGAATGAAAAGAATAGAAAACATTTACAAATAAGCCTTGAAATGTATAAACATGAATTAGATACATTGTAACAAGTCCGCACGTCGTCCCGAGACCATATCCTAACATGACCCATCAGCCAACGCCAACCCAGAAAAGGAACGCATTAGGCAACTCCTAGTAATCGTGTGCTTCAGACTTGATTGTCGTCCTGCTATCATCGTTCTCGTCTTCCTCCATAATGCTGGGCTCGATTGACACCCCGCGACGATAAGCACCAGGCTCGATGGAAGGGCGGACGCTACCGGACCGGCCGGAACGAAGACTGAGCATATCACTGTCTCCCTCCTCGGTCCCCTCGCGAGCGCGGGAGCTACTTGGGCGGCCCTGAGCCGCTGCCAGGAGCTTAAGAACCGAGTTTTTGACCTTGACAAGGGCATTCCTGCTAGCAGCTTCAGAAGCCAGACCTTCTTCGATCGTTTCGTCCAAAAGCTCCTTCACCTCTTGTGCAAGTGCAGCATTCTCAGGGCTAACTTCGCTTTGGCTACTCCGAGCACTCGGGCCGATTGGGTCTTCGCCCTCCGGATTGCGAGAACCAGCCCTTGAAGGCACCGCGGGAGGAGCGATGTAGAGCTTGCTAAGCAGGGAGAAAAGAAGCTTTTTCTCTTCCTTAGAGCAGCGGTTAGAACCTTCGCTGATCCCCAGCACACGCTCCAGGATGTCCTTCACCAGCGCTAGATGAACCCAGCCACATATGTTGGAACTGGCTGTGCCGCCTGCGAGAATCTTCTCTCCGCCCAGCCCAACAACTCGCCGTTCGTCAGTCCATTCCGCGAGCATACCCAGAACACCACTCATTAGCGCCTTTAATTCTCGCTGTCCAACAGTCTCATCGATATCGCCATCACTGTCCTCTTCCGCTTCAAGTGAGAAATACTCTTCTGCCGCATTGAGGACTGCCCGGACAACCGGTACAGACACCCTGCGCATATGTTGGGTATTTGTCAGCTTCGAGTGGCAGTATACAGGGAGGAAGTAGGCTAGAGTCTGCCGGAGCGCGGGATTTTCACGAGTACGGGGGTGGAAGAAAGTAACCACAAGTGACTGCAAGAGGGTTTCGACGGATGTTTGGTTGTACTCCTGGATAGCTGGAGGGACATTAGCCCCAGAGGGAGTAAAGGTGTTAGTGAGCAACAGCTTGGAAAGAGCTGTGGCGGCGGTTGCTTGGACACTGTTCGGAGAGCTAGACTTGAGTGCCCTAGCAAAGACTTTCAGCAACGGCTTCTGGAATACTGGCGGTGTCACCGTCTCTCCGTCAGGCTGGGTAACAGGCGCGAGCAAGGATGGATGGGTCGTCAGCATGTCGCATAGGATGTGCAAGGCAGTCGTCTGCAAAGCCTCATGGCCCTTGCTGTAGCAATGGATAAATAGTGTCATGTTTTCTTCAGCCAAGGTCTGGTGTGGGGACGACTGTTAGCATACGTCAGAGGTATAGAGCGATAGAGACCAACCTTGTCAAGCAAACAGCATAGCCCGAGGCACTCAAGACCTCTTTCTCTAATTGGCGCTTCATGACTACGGACCGCAGGAACGACCAGGTTATTCAGCATCGTAACCAGGTTCATGTTTGCTTGCAGATTGCCCTCCACATTTTGCAACATACAAAGTGCAATGTGAAGACATTTCATGTTGACCATGATCTCTTTGAGAACCTTTGCTTTGGCCTCTTCTTTGTTGAAGGGCTTTGCTTCGGGAGTTTCAGATCGATGACGACTGGAGGATTCGCTAATTTCCGATCTAGCTGACACAAAGCTATCTTCAGTGGCAATGGTATCGTGAACTTCAGCGATGGCCTCCAGAACAACACTACAGAACTCGTTTTCGGCGGCAGCGTTTGGTCCACAAACAAATCGCAGTGTCTCGATGGCGAGTTTGGTACATTCTTCAGGCAGCTCTGGAACTGCCAAGGATTCGCGGAGTAATGAGAACATCTTACGTCGCCCAACTTCGTCACTGTAGTCCAGGGTCATGGCAATGTGTAGCAACTGTTCAACAACAAACTCATGCTCAATAGAGTCATCATCGTTGGCTGTACCGGCTTCCTTGGCCAGCTTCTTCCGCTGTAATAGGTCGGTCATGTATTTGTTCAAGAAGTAGGCAAGGGCAGTGACTTCGGGCATTTTCTCGTCAGCTAAGTTATCGAATTTTCCGTCGTGCTCCACGCGACAGAAGTCGTTGAACGAGCGAATGAGGAAAGCTGATTCAGCTGTCAGGGACTCCCAGAATTCCTCATCGAAGACGACTGCTTCCCGGTAATCAGGGCGACCTTCCCAGAAGCTACGCATGGCTTCATGGGCTATGCCGGTTTCAATGCCAGAGTTCAGTACGTCGATTCTCTCGAGCAGCTCCAAGAGGGCTGGTACGTTCGGCGGAGAGCGTTGATTAGCTGGACCTTCTTCGTCATTATCTGTACTAGCAACATCCTCAATCCACCGATCGTAGAAGAGCTTCCCAGTAGCCTTCCTAACACTTTCATCTCGATCTCTGAGACCCCAACGGAGCAACTTCTCTCTCATTGACAGTGATAAATGTCGGAAATCACCCAGAGTAGGGAGTAGACGTGCATATAATGCTCGCCGCGTGGCGGCGTCGAGATCGCGAGCTCGTTCAAGAAGGTATGGAAGCGTTTTGCGGAGAAGAGGTAGGTTGAGAAGTAAGGTTTTCCGAACCTCTGCGCTTGTATCATTTTGCATGATGTCAACAAGCTTCTCCACCAAGACTGCACTATCCTCATCATCTTCATCCTCGTTGCCTGCCAGGCGGCCAAGACCCATCACGGCTTGTACTCTCACAGATGATTCTTTGTCTCTGATCCGCTTCAGAAGGCCCTGTCGGATGGTATGGTACAAATCGTCGTCAATCGTCTCGAGAGAGTTCACAATATGCGCAGTTATTTGCGTCGCACGGAAACGAACAGTCCGATCCTTAGCAGCTAGTAACGGCATAACACGGGCAACCAGGCTGGTGGCCAAACGGGACGTGGGTGTTTCGGCGCTGACTTCATCATCATCGTTGGCGAAAAGCTCGGCATCCTTTTCGGATGCATGGGTCAAGAAAGTGCCAACAAAGCGCAAGACACGGTCGCCAACGGGTTCCGACTTTTTGATGGGCAGGATACGTAGCATGCAGCGACCGATCTCCACATTAAACTCCGTTTCGGGGAGTGTCTCTTCACCTGGAATCAAGGTCTCCTCTTGAACCTCCTTACCATTTTTCTTAGAGCTCTTCTGTGATATCCCGCAGCAAGCCTCTTGAAGCTTTCGAAGTCGCACGACGAGTTTTCGGTGTCCGGTTGTCGAGCGTTGCGCATCAGCGAAGAGTAAGCAGACATCCCGGCGCAAATTGGGAAAAGCCTCGGGCAAAGGGGGTTCCTCCGGGATGGCGACAGAAGGAGTTACAGAACCTGCGCGCCCGCCTGATACTGATGGTTGAGCGGACGGTCTACGCGATGTTGTCGCAGAGGTCGAACGGGCGGAAGATCGACCAGGCATGGTGTCTGGAGGGGTAGAGGTTTGAGTCGAAATGTGTCGATCAAGTAAGGAGTTGTCGCATAGAGTCAGACAGGGAACATCTCAAAATCGTGTCATAGATCAGATTCAGGCACCGGAACTCGTTGAATGGCGCGCCTGTAGTCGCTGGACCAAGGTGGGATGATATTGCCGTCGGAGTTGAGTTATCGCCAAAACATTGCGGACGATAGCCCGCAGTCACGGGGTGCAGAATAAACAAACAGCCCAAAACGGGAAAGACTAAGATAAGGGTTAGGGTTCGCAAAGCATTATGTCATGTCTGACCATCAAAGGCAGTATCGCGGGGTTTATATACGAAATCTATATCGATTGTCACTATCTATTCCCTAAATGATATACAGGTTACTGCAATGTCAATCCATCAATGGGATTAATAGTACCAAGCATTATCGAGTCAACGTTATGTCCAATGGAGAAATGAGGGTCCTCACTTCGTGCAAGCTATCACGCCATCGCTCACGTGATACTTAATCGCTGACTAACGCCGACCATCGGCATTTGAGAATCCGGGGAATGGAATGGTCTTCCTCCATCAATTGTCTCTTGCATAGTAGACGGCGTTCGGAAGTAGCTGTGCTAGCCTTCGAAGCCTTTTGAAATAATGTTCCGACAAAGTATTCGGCGCTTTGGCACCACTGCGCTCCGCGCAGCAGAAGGATCGACCGCCTATAGCGTCCGAGTGTCGCAAGCTCAGGGCTACGTTAACGGTCTTACAGAAGGTACGCTAAGATGAGGAAAATAAGAGTTAGCTACGCGAACAACGGCTTCTGACAGTTTGTCATTAAGCAATTGGAAACACACCACTTATCCGATTGAAGCGTCTTTCCGAAGAGACTGGCTGCAACATCCTCGGTAAAGCCGAGTTCCAGAACCCCGGAGGCAGTGTCAAGGACCGTGCAGCATTGTTCGTCGTCAAGGATGCCGAGGAGAAGGGGCTTTTGAAGCCTGGCGGTACGGTGGTTGAGGGGACAGCTGGTAACACTGGAATTGGGTTGGCGCACGTGTGTCGGTCAAAGGGCTACAAGCTTGTCATCTACATGCCCAACACGCAGTCCCAGGGTAAGATCGACCTATTGCGGCTGTTGGGTGCTGAGGTCTATCCTGTCCCGGCTGTCGCCTTCGACAACCCGCAGAACTACAACCACCAGGCTAGGAGACATGCCGAATCCCTGGATAACGCAGTATGGACGAACCAGTTCGACAACACTGCCAATCGCCAGGCTCACATTGAGATGACCGGGCCGGAAATCTGGGCCCAGACTGGCGGACAGGTCGATGCTTTCACTTGTGCTACTGGAACCGGTGGAACATTAGCCGGAATTACCCGTTATCTGAAGACCGCTTCCGACGGCCGGGTGAAGTGCTTCCTCGCCGACCCCCCAGGCAGTGTCCTGCACAGCTACATCCAGAGCGGCGGAAACCTGATCGATCGCTCGGGAAGCAGCATCACGGAGGGTATTGGCCAGGGCCGCGTCACGGATAACCTTCAGCCCGACATTGATCTTTTGGATGGGTCACTGAACATCAGTGATGAGAAGTCGATCGAGATGGTCTACCGCTGCCTCGATGAGGAAGGTCTCTATCTTGGAGCTAGCTCTGCGCTCAACGTTGTTGCTGCCAAGGAAGTTGCCGAGAAACTCGGGAAGGGTAAGACCGTCGTCACCATTCTGTGTGATGGCGCCTACCGCTACGCCGACCGTCTGTTCTCAAACACCTGGCTCCAGAGCAAGGGCCTGAGAACCGCTATTCCTAAGCACTTGGAGAAGTACATCGTGCTTCCCTGATTGGTTATGTATGTATAATGTTGTATAGACCAGTGTCAATTTTATGATATCTGTGAAGCATGTCCAGTTACAAGCATGAGACAATTTTAGTTAAGCTTGAATGATCATTGAACGCCATTGCCAACACCTATGCCCCGATAACTCATTCGCTAAACAATGGTAAGGTCACTTGCCCTTCCATACCCATTATACCCCACACCCCTCAAGTTCCACTGCGGATGCCCCTGCTGCATATTCCCACCCCTATCAAACGCGCGACTTAGAACCTCCCTCCCAGTCCCTCTCTCAACACTGGCCCTTGCCCTCCACAAAACCCAACACCATTTCCTCTCAGTGGACGAACCCTCGATCTCGGCATCCACCCATATCTCCCCTCCATCAGCGGAAACCTGCACAGTGGTAACCGGGCCATCGGCGCCATGTGGCACCGCATACCCCTTCACCTCAACAGTACCCGAGTCCGAAAGATGAACTGTTTCCCCATCGGCAGGCACCCCCACCACCGAGTTAATAGACATATCACACATAGCAGGCAAGCGACCCCAGTAGGGCTCAGCGGAAGCACTATCGACCGCATCCGGCGGCAGGATCTTGTAATCGTGCTGTTGGTAGAAATTGGACGATTCATGGTCTTGCACCGTGATACGATCGAGCCACTTGACCCACCTGGCACCCGCAACCCCGGGGAGGACCACTCGGACCGGGTAGCCGTGGTTGGGTGAGAGCGGCGAACCGTTCATCTATCACCCATCAGCCCTGTATAAAAAGCACCCCCTCTGCCCCAAAGATATAAAGTAGCTCACCTCCAAAGCAAGAATAACATCCATATCCTCGTCCAGACACCTCTTCAACTCCACACTACTTCCGAACCAATCATCCTCCTGACACTGTACCTGGTAGCATGAAAACGCAACATATAACCCCTGATTCAAGTCTGGCGTTACGCCAGCTCGCAGTAGAACGTCCCTCAATCGCGGACCCTTCCATTGACAGTTCATGACAGCTGCATCGCCCCAGTCGATCCCCTGGACTTCCTTGAGCAGTGTGCGCATGGCATGCCGCCGGTTCCCTGCGCACTCTAGAGCGCAGATGACTTCGTGCTGGGGGAACTCGGTTCGGAGTTGTTGGATGGATAGACAGAGTGGGCTGGGGATATTGCCGTCTATGCGGACGGTGTGGGTGTCTGCGGTGAGATGCGGGATGGGACCATGGTTGCGGTCATAGGAGATATCTTCCGGGGTGATGAAGCTGAGATATTGTTAGTAGCATGGTCTGGGGGTTTGCATCTGGTGGTAACTGCGGAGGTTACCTCGCGACGAGGGTTTTGATGGGTGGTTCCCGGTTTAGGGGGTTTTGGATGGAGTATTCTGTGTGCTTGATTTTGTTAACATGATTTTCGCTCGTGGTTGGCAATACCAGGACGTACTGTGTCAGTCATTTTTGATTGTTTTGAGTGCTGGCTTTTGGGTCAGACCGGGCTTAAGATGGTGGGATTTATGGTTGTTCTTCTGACGTCATACTTATCTTGATTCTTAGGTACTGATGTAGCTACATAAACTTGAGCTTGTCTAAAATATATCTTCTGGCTTTTGGGATATATATTGTTTCGGTCCCTGAAGAGGGCCCTCAAGGGCCGCTAGGAGCAGCGAGCTGCGTACAAGTGGCTTTTGGTGAGCACAGTCGCACTAATGCTATTGTCATGTCATCTCTTTCGTAGAATCGTACAGTTATGCTTCTCATGTACTGTACACTGTGACCGCCTGCGACTTACACAAAACGAATGTTGTGCTTGGTGTAAGGACAGAACGATACAGTAAGCGCAGGAGAAAAGTAGAGGCAGTCTGTCCGGATAGCTTAATACCTTTTCTCAATTTACAGCATTCTACACACTCACAAGGCTACATATAGATAAATAATCTCAAGGATCAAAACCCTAGTGGACAAAAAAAGCAAAGCTATTGTGTCATTTTGATGCTATGAAATAATTCTATCTGTGCCCGCATTTGCTGCTTAACAGAACCCACTCGCTAGAAGACCATAACTGACAAAACTCAAGATGTGAAGGAAAACAACAGTCGGAAAACCACTGATGTGCGTCAGGTATGCCAATCCTGAACAGCTATTCATGGCGCTGTATAGCCCCATTAAGCCTTGTTGGGGTATCCAGAGGCGCGCTGCACGAAGATGAAAGCAGAGGTGAACTCTATTGTGCGAGTTAGAGAAGCATAACAAGAGGGCATTGGGGTCCAGGGGTACTAACCAGTGAAGGAGACCTGCTTGTCGAGAGTAGAGTCGAAGAACTCCTCGAATGCAGCGGCGCCTTGTTCACCGTATGCCTGCTTGAGCACGTCCAAGTCGACCAATCCTGTGTTGTACGGTTAAGGTCTGATTCAATCAGAGTGGTTGGATGTATAAGATCGCTTACCATCGTTATCGTTGTCCTAAATCCAATGTGTCAGTCAATGGCTCGTTATTGTGTATGGAAATGTAATTAACATACCATTGCCTTGAACTCTCCCAGCAGACCCTTGATGGTTTCCAGGGAGTAGGTAACATCCTTGGAGTAGTTAGCACCATAAACGAGGTAGATCGATGGATATGGTCCTTACTGCGGGGTCGCTGCCTCCCATGACAGTGTCGTAGAGCTTGGTGCTAACCATTTTGGCGAGTGTTTAAAGAGTAGGAAGGGCTGAAAGGGGGGTGTTTTTTTTTTTGGATGAGAGACTGAAGTCTGATTGTTTGAAGTCTGGCTGTTGGAGTGATCTGTGAGCTTGGTTGATGTTTTGGTTTCGAAGGGGCAGACTGGGTCTCTTTATAGATTTTCTTGCACCGCAAAAGAACGAGCTTTGCAGGATAGAACTCGTACTAGACTCAAGGTGATGTCCACTGCAATCGCAAGTCACTTGCTGACAGGTCCGTGGGGGGGCGGATGGGGCCAAACTGCCGGCGCATCGCCCCATTCTGCAGTCGACGGTGACCTCAGCTCACCCCGCATATCGGCCATGACTGTGCATATCTTCTGACAGACTAGATCATGCGTGCTAGAGGCTCTAACGTTCATGCCATTTCCGGGGCTACAGTGTTGGTCCAATCTTTGATCGTAAGTGACCTTGCTGAACCACCATAGTCTCACCAGTAAGAGTTTGGAAGACCCATCGCACGTCGAACTGTGTCTCATGTAACGTCTAGCGACATGAATCAGATTCCATTAGCTGTATACCACAACTGGTTGAGATCACCTTGCATCTATCTTGTGTAATACCCTCGCGAAGAAGCTCTCCAACAGTGGTACTGAGTACTCGTAGTGAGTGGCATAAGCTTATGGTTGTGGGGGCGGCGGGAATAACCTAAAATCTGACACCGACTTGGCCCCCGGCGCCCCCACAGCATACAGTGGCAGAAACCTCCTAAAAGCCAGCTATTCTACTAGTATTTAAGTAGTATACCAGCCCCGGCTTACTATTTATAGTAAAGATGGTAGCCGGTAGAACGGGAGCAGGCTAAACCCTAAACGGGTGTTCCAATTATTGAATACATCCCCCCCGGTACCAGGAAAATTATGAAACAACGAAAAGGAATCCAGAAAGGACGGTTAGCCGTGTTCTCCGAGGGGCCGAAAAGTGAGTAACCAGTAGGATACGTTCTTCACAATAGTACATTATGGCAAAGATAATTTGATCTTGTCTCAAAGCTATCCATCAAACGATACCACGGCTAAACTGATTCATAGAGGGAGACGATACGATCATAGAGCAAAAGACTAGGTGAACCATTCTCGAGGTAATCAGCAGGCTCTGATCGTTCGACCCAGGGGAGGAGAAGCTCGTGACATTTGGATACAACTTCGTTCTTGACATTCTCCCTATGGCGTTTATCCCATCTGTAAAGCAACAAGCAGTTGCCACGCATGTTGAACGCTTCAATAACCCTAGCCGGTGCTGTTGGTATACGGTCTTGAACATCCGAGAATTGAAATCCATATATTTCTTCGAACCTCTCCCGGCATAGCTCTGCAGCGGGTGTGTTCCTCTCTTCACTAACCAGGAAGTAGTCTTCTCGGATGTTCCCGCCATGGGCCGCCTCATTTCGTCGCTGGTTTGACAACAGCGCCCTGAGTAAAACGGATTTTCGGATTTTACGGTACGGGGCAACTCTTTCCGTCAAGTCATCAAGGGCTCTCTGGTGGTTAACGACTTGCTCCCGCAAGTCGTTTCTAAGTTGTTGGAGGTTGGAAAGAAGACGGTGCCCGGATTGGTTCGCGATGGTCCTTGCTGAGGGATCCATGGTGACAGGAACTTGGGTAAGCAGTTCCGCTTCCAAAGAAGTTCTGGTGTCCCTAGTGAGATTTTCTTTGTAAATCACCCCAGTGAACGACGGGTGAGTCAGAATGAGATGAAGCTCATAGGGTGCCGGGGGACGCCGTGGTAGCTGTGATTCGTGCTGTTGACATTTTGGATGGCGCCCTGGCTGACTGCAGTAGAAGGTTAAGACCAGAGAGGTAATGAAGGAGGAAGAAGAAGAAGAGACGGTTAAGAGTGAAGGAGAGGAAGAGGCGAGGGAGGGCGAAAAATGAGGAGAAAAGTGAAAGGGGGTGGTTGATGGATTCACAATACAAACGGAAGGACCAAACAAACCATCCCATTCAGGAACTATATGGAATTTGGAAGAAAGTCATTGTGTTCCAATGCATGAAAACAGTGACTGCCCAGCTTTTCATCGGCTGTATTCACTTCACACACCAGATATGTTCTAGAAGCCTCCATATCCACCTGTTTCTTTTCAACTTCCTTCTACTCTGCCTTCAATCTTCCTGCCTTCCCTGGATCTTCTGCCAGGTGTATCTAGAACAGTGAACCCGACGTATTCGTTCTGTTTTAGAGGTGTTTCCAGTTCCCCTTGTTACCATCCAACCTGAGCTCCGACCAAGGTGCATGGGTAGGCTTCTTCTGGTGGGCCCACGCTGGACTAAGGATCTTCCAACTCCTCCACCATTTCATAAAGCACAGCTAGCTCTCATTTTGAAAGAAAAAATGGAGAATCCCGATCATCAATGTCATCGGGTGGGGGCATAATGGACGTGTTAACCTCTCATATCACTCTCGTCCCTTAGTCGGATAATCTCCCACTTTTGAATCCCAGAAAGTTATAACGAGTACCTAAACCAGAGGGGATCAGCCCTAAATATCAGTCGCGGAGATCAACCAGCTCTTACGAAGAGAACGAGTGTTTATTCTAAGAAAATGCTACAGGGTGCACGAGTGCGTACAGTTCCCGCAATAGCATTCTTTGAAGCTCCTGTCCTGTGTTTTGCTTGCTTTTTGTACATACTTTGGATCCAACCTCCTTCAATATGGAACGGGGTCTTGGCGTGAGGACCTTGAGGGTGAGGACCTTGGGGGACAGCCTCTGCCCAATTGGAAGACCTCCAGATCGGTGGGGGGGTTCCTGGATCTTAACTTTATCTGAACGTCCCAGATCGCCTTCTGAGCCCTATCTCGATCTATATATCCTATTCATTCCTACTGCCCTTGGCCTGATTTCGTTCCCTGTCCTGCAAAATCCCCCTTCTATCTGCCAATCGCCCATCGGTCCTCGCGTCGGGCCCAAAGAGGATAGCGCAGATTACCTAATTCCCTTGCAGCTGCACCGCTGACTAGGCAAAACATAGCATAACTCTTTTTTTTATGACACACTGATCCGGCAAATTAAACGAAGCCTTTCAAAGCCCTTGTCGACCGCGTACAAGTGGTCACAGGTGTACTTTGCATTCTGCCCCTGTGGAGAGATTCGGATCCATCGAACAAGAGTTACATTGACACCCGAGGCTTCGCACTGGCAAATATCACGCCCTAATCTTGATCACGTCGACCAGAATCCTTCCCAACCCCTTCTGTCCGGAGACATCCAATATCTCTCAAATGTATATAGGAAGCAGATAGATTGCCAGCAAACAGTCATTCATACAATTGAACATCAAGTGTTATCCCCCAAGTGCCAGTGGCAAATTGAGTTCAGTGACGACTCTGCTGTGACACATATTCTCCCAAAGCTGCTTGGCAAAACCTGACAAGTCAATAACGCCCGTGGATCTTCGCGGAGAATCCACTAGAATCGCTCTTTGAAAGTGGGCTGAGGATAATCCCGGTCCCAATCCGATTAATATTGGGCATTTGGACACGGGAGAATTTTCCCCTGAGGCTTTAAAATGCTTGATCGAGCCCGTCCTCCACCCCCTTCACTCATGTCTATCCGTTGAGTCTTCTACTTCAGCCTCAATTGTCCTACGCAGCGGGTATATCTCTCACCATGGCCTTACACTTGACGCAGCTACAGCGTCTCTCGCTTGTGATCGGTATCTCACTTTGCTTCTTCGTTGCTGAAATTTCTGGTATGTCATCCCTCCTGGATCTTGAATTCCTTTCTCACTTGCCATGACCAGTTGGATTTTACACGAAATCTCTCGCCCTTGTGGCTGACGCATTCCATTATGTTCGTCGGAAGAGTCTTCCGTGTCGGGGCGTGATGTCTGTGCTAATCTCTGCAGCTCAATGATATCATCGGGTTTATCGTGGCATTTGCTGCCGTGAAGGTACGGTGTCTGACAGTTTCCACAACACAGATCTACTAATCCAAAACAGATATCGTCGAAGAAGGAATCACCGAAAGACCTGTCTTTTGGCTGGCAGCGAGCTCGCCTCCTGGGAGCGTTTTTCAATGGTGTTTTTCTCCTCGCCCTCGGTGTCAGTATTTTCCTACAGTCTATCGAGCGCTTTATCAGCCCACAGGGTATGCGATCACTCTTTGTGAATCCTAGAGCATGCTGACAGGTAATGCAGAGGTTGAAAGTCCAAAGCTGGTCCTTATTATTGGGTGTGTTGGGCTTGCGCTGAATATCCTGAGCGCGTCTTTCCTTCACGGTTCGTTCTCCTCGACTTCCCCATCTGCACACAGACTAATTGGCGGGGTTTCCTTCACTCAGAACACGACCATTCCCACGACACAATTCCCAGAGGAAGTCTAGACGCAAGCGCTGAGAGCGGGATAAACGAGGTAACCAACCGGTCTTGCTAATCGTGAAGATGAGAAGAATGCTGAAGGTCCATCACAGGCTTACGCCTTCCATACCGGCCATAGACACAATAACCTTCAAGCTCAGAAGAAGGGATACGATCTCGGGCTGCTCGGTGTTTTCATCCACGTCCTTGGTGATGCCTTCAATAATGTCGGTGTCATTATCTCTGCCTTGATTATCTGGCTCACCAGTTCTGCCGCCCGGTACTATGCAGACCCGGCCATTAGTATGGCGATCGCCCTGATGATCATGGGGACATCTATCCCCCTCGGTTTGTGCTACTCCTTTTCTATCACATGTGCTCTTGCTCGGTCTAACCTTTTATTCAGTGAGGAATTCAGGTCTTATTCTGTTGGACAGTGTTCCAAAGGGAATCGATCTGAGCGACGTCAAGCACGACCTTGAACTGGTACGTTTCCGCCCCGATATACCTTGACCCCCGCCTGCCCCATGCTCCGACCGTCTAGCCTTGTATTAACAGGGTTCAGCTACCCGAGGTTTCCTCCGTCCACGAGCTGCACGCCTGGCGCCTAAACCAGGAAAAGGCACTGGCTTCCGTACACGTCGGCCTGCCCGATATTCGCATCTCAGAGTTCGTGAAGCTGGCCAAGACCATGAACGAGTGCTTCCACAGCTATGGTATTCACTCAGCGATTGTGCAACCGGAGCTCATCCAGACAGTGGAGAACACCACGAAGAGGGCTGAAGGGAAGTCCGGATCCTGTCAGATCACCTGCGGCTCTTCCTGTGAACTGCTTACCTGCTGTGGCTAAGGAGGGCAACGGCAGTCGTTGGACGACTTCGGCGATTGCACCGGCTCTCTAAGTTATAGGGAGACTGTTTGACCCTTGCGGTGTTGGGGACTGGATTTAATTTACATAATGCGCTGTTAAACTCAGTGGGAGAGCCGGTATTGGTTTCTCGAGGAGCTTCTCTGAAGGGTGAGGTTGGAATATGGTAGATCTAGAACTGCAAATTGCATGTAACACTTTATTTCATACGGCTAGTAATATCTGTTCCTGTCTATTCGCTTTTGATCATGACCCTGTAGGAGAGTTATATAGAATGAAATCCAAGCAATGCCCCATGACTTCTCTTTCTATCTAGGGAGGAATGTTGAACTCGTATAGTGCCCCAACGCGGGAGAGCTCCTGGCAGCCCATATAAATACCAACTAGCTTTGACTGGCTTGGGGGTGAAAAATTCCTGTCACGTGCTAAGAGTCGCGGATGGCTTTCTGCAGATATCCCATCTTTACACCTCCAAATGGTATCGCACAAGTTGAGACTATGATGGACTATATCAAGGTGAATGGTTGTCAGTGGGCTTCTTAGGACCAGTTAGAGATGGAGGGCGGGTTGATAGACACAGGCTAGGCGTTCACGTACAATACTCGACACCTCTTGTGTAATATTTACGATATTTTGAAACCTTGCCATGCATTTTCTTTATCCATGCTTAGACAGCGTTCCGGACAAGATTCTGCCTTTGAGGCACCTACAGAGCTAGACGTTCAATAGCCAGGCTCTAAAAGGAAATACAATATTGATTCTTTGATCGATTGAATTGCAACATGGAGCCACCTTCCTTGCTCAGGGAAATGTAACCACAGTGGAAGAGAAAGGGTATTACAGAACATTTAACTGATAAGCCTCTGTATTTACAAGTACCATCTCCCTCATGCTGTCTCCCACTGTAAGATATCCATAGCAAGCTCTCATCACGAAGTGTACACACAATATCTCCCTTTCTACACTACCTCTTACCACGTTTATCCAATCGTTGTAATAAATCCCCAAACTCCGGATAATCCTCAAGCCGTCGACGCTTATGCTGCGTTCGCCCATTATTCTCGACCGTTGGCTTACGCTCGTAAAGATGGCGGTATATATGCATTGCCATGGCTTCCTCCGGCTCGATGCGCGTGGCATATTTCTCGGCTTGAAAAGGGATGGTACAGGCACTATCACTATTCAGAACAGTGGGCCCTCTCTTCGCTCCAAAGGAGTCGAATTGATCTAATTGATCATCTGAGAGTTTAAAAATCCGGTATCCGTCGTCGGGATGGATGAAGGCATCGCGGCACTAAGTGACTTTAGTAAGTCTAGCCACAATGGAAACCGCAGGAAAGGAGAACGGGCCTACTTTGTCATCTGTCTCGCCTCGATCGAACAACACCGTCCCTCCAAAGACTTGTTTTTCAGCCCAGTATCCAACCACGTCAGAAACCTTCAAGGGATACTGATCATGGTCGAGATATTCTGAATGACAAAACCAAGTTGATTCGCGGGGATGCGACACACGGTTCCGACTTGGCCAGGCATCGGGGTCTGCTTCGAAAGATTGGGAAAAACGGGCAACCACATTATGGAACGAAATGGCTACCATCTCTAGCAGTCGGAGTTTGAAGTCCCTTGACCCTATTGAGGTATCTTGATATGCTTGCGCAACCTATACACTGGTTAGTCCTGAAGGACAAGACGGGTAAAGCCACCAACATCAGAAAGAATGTCAAGACTGTCAAGTTTGTAGTTGTGCTGGAAAGATTTGACCGTTTCGATTGATTCGTCAGAAGGGTCGTCTTTTCTTTTTAGGCCGGCCTTCACGAATTCCCAACCGTTGGAGTCGGTGCGGCTAGGTATCCCATCAACGACTTGTGCGAGAGCTCGCTGTGCAGGCTCGCTCGATACAACATTGCGTAGTGTCTGGGTAAACGCTTCAAGGTGTTCAGGCGTCAAGTCACTGATAGAAATTTTGTTCATGCTCGACATGGTTTTGGGGAGATTCTTTAGATCGCTTTGAAGTTGTTGTGTGAAGGTGAAAGTGTCCCGGAATAATTGTAATTTGGCCTTGAGCATTGGTGGCGGGGAGATACTACTAGTAGTACTACTAGTACTGTATATCAGTCTAGATTTACTAGCGTCAAGGTCAACTCCTAATTACTGATAGGAGCCTATCAACGCAGAAGCCTGGAACATCACCAAGCGCTTACGGCTTTGGTTGTAATAGGCGCTTAATGCGTCGTAATAGCCCACCTGAACGCAGTAATCAGTTATAAAAGCTATTCTCGTTAAGAAAGAGAGACTAATGCATGGTATACGCGCCGTGGCTACTAGACAGTAGGGTACATTGACCTATTATACATTGAACTATAAGAAAAGACCTGACAACGGTCTGACGCCCGAACACTCCCCATCTACCATTTGATAAAAGACGTTCATATTAACTGGGAGCTGGGGATGGAATGACTAACCCTCTCTTTGTTTCTTTTGAAGTCATTTTGAATTTACATTTGGAGTTTTGCCTCCTCTACAGCAAACCAGACCAAATCTGATCGGAGACTTTCTCAACTCTGGCCGTTCATCACATAATCGATACGAGATAGTTAACTAATTTCGCCCTCCTCATGACTAAACATGTCGCTTGGTGGAATGGCGAGAAGTTAGAAAGGATGGCACTTCGCTTCTCCTCGAAGCTACTCTCCCTTGGGGCATCAAACTCATCCCTGATCGGGCAGCCTTAGTTTGCCGGGGCAGGTTTAGAAGTCAGGACCCGCTCTAGGAATTAAGATTCTAAATAATTGAATAAAGTATACTAAAGGAGATCATAGATTAGATAAAAGATAGCCCTTTTAATATTTTATATACCTATCGTGTATCTATCAGGTCAATTTCTATCTATTTAACAATGCAAACCTTGATCTGGAGGTGTGAGACCGAAGTGCTGGGCCACGACTATTTTTCATCTAAACGCCATGTGCCTACTCCTACTACTACTACTACTACTACTACTACTACTACTACTACTACTACTACTACTACTTACGTACGTATACGTACTAAC